TTCCAGTGGTTTCCAGGATGACACTCCAACCTTGCAGTGTGTTTCTGCTGCAGCTAGTCAATCAGATCCATAACTGTATAATAGTTCTAACCTGAAGGCACCAGATCCTCTCTGATTAGTACTTGGATGGGGACCACCAAGAAGCAGAAAGTGCTGTAGGCTAAACTTCAGAGTTTGGAACTGGCAAAACCACTTTCTAGTATTCTTTGCCTAAGGAAAGTCTATACGATTTGCAGGGCTGCCGTAATGGATAGATAACTTGAAAATGTACACATTTCCCTCCATTATTTCTTTTCCTGTCTTTCCCAGACATTTCCTAGACGTTTATCGACTCTCTTGTAATAAAGTCTAGATTGTAATCTCAGGGCAGAAAGATGTAGCAAAATATGATATTGGTTTCTGTGAGTTTTCCGGGCTGAATGGCCATAAGCCTCATTTCGACCTGTCACATCAGCACTTTTAACCCTTGTACCCTTACTCTGGCCCGGCCCAGTTTTATTGTGTCTTAGTGGATTGTTCATTGCTTGTTGTTTTAGATTGCTTTAATTGTTTTTAATTTGCCTAGGTTTGTATTGTTGTATTGTTTGTTGAGGTCTTGGCCTTTGTAAGCCGCATCGAGTCCTGAGGGAGATGCTGGCGGGGTACAAATAAAGTTTAATAATAATAATAATGTTCTAGAAGGCCATCTTGAACAGCCTTGCAGCTTCCTGCCTGGGGGAATCCTTTTTTGGAAGGTGTTAGTTGGCCCTGATTGTTTCCTGTCTGGAATTCCCCTGTTTTTTGAGTATTGCTCTTTATTTACTGTTCTGATTTGAGTTTTTTAAAATACTGGTAGCCAGATTTTGTTCATTTTCATGGTGAGAAATATAGAATCATAGAGTTGGAAGAGACCTCGTGGGCCATCCAGTCCAACCCCCTGCCAAGAAGCAGGAAAATTGCATTCAAAGCACCCCCAACAGATGGCCATCCAGCCTCTGTTTAAAAGCTTCCAAAGAAGGAGCCTCCACCACACTCTGGGGCAGAGAGTTCCACTGCAGAATGGTTTCCTCCTTTCTGTTGAAATTGTCCACATCCTTGTGGATTTCAGTGGCTTCTCTGTGTAGTCTGGCATGGTGGTTGTTGGAGTGATCCAGCATTTCTGTGTTCTCAAATAATATGCTGTGTCTAGGTTGGTTCATCGAGTGCTAATCAAGGTGGCCAATTGCAACATTCACACTTGCCTCAAACAAACAAGATGTCTTTCTCCCACCCTGTACATTCCACAGATATATTAGCCTCACCTGCCGAGTTTCCAACAGACCTTACAACCTCTGAGGATGTCTGCCATAGATGTTGGCAAAACATCAGGAGAGAATGCTTCTAGAACATTATTTATTTTATTTACAGCATTTATATACTGCTTTTCTCACCCCTAGGGTCATACATGGTCATACAACCCAGAAAACTCACAACAACCCAGTAATTCCAGCCATGAAGACCTTCGCCAACACATCAAAATATGTTATATTTATCACAATAGACAGAAGGAAGACAGACAGACAGATGGTGGACAGAATATTAACAACACCTTATAATAAGTTTGGTAATGCTTAAAGCATAAGTATGTATTAATGTTACAAAAGCTTCTTTTTTTAATAAACTGTAGAGAAGAAAAAGTTAACCCCCTAGAGTATACCATCTATAATCGTAATCTGGCAAATTAAAAATGACATGCAACTGTTTGTTGTTTTATTTTGTTTTATTTAGATTAGTGTAGTTACTATAGAAATAGTATGTTTGTCATATGGTAGTTTTGTATCTTTGTGCTTTTGTAGGTTGTGACATTTGTGGGGGGGTTTTTTCTTTCTTTTTTTTCATTGTTTCATTTCACCTTACTGACCGAAAGGTCAGCATTTCGAATCCAGGGAGCAGGTAAGCTCCAGCTTCTGCCAACCTAGGAGTTTGAAAACATGCAAATGTGAGTAGATTGATAGGTACTGCTCTGGTGGGAAGGTAACAGTGCTCCATGCAGTCATGCCACCACATGAACTTGGAGGCATCTAAGGACAATGCCGGCTCTTCGGCTTAGAAATGGAGATGAGCAACCCCTGCCTCCCGAGTCGGATACGACTAGACTTCATGACAAAGGGAAACCTTTTTTTCTTTTTGTATTCCCATAATGTGGGGGGGGGGGGGTTGTAACTAAGATATGTATATCAATAAGGATCTTAACAACAGCAACAACAGTGAAGAATTGTAATAAATGAAGCAGTAGCAGTGGCACTAAGCACAGCAGCAAAAACAAAAAATGATTCTATTGGGATTTGTTTGTGTTTTTAAATGAATCTGTTATGCTCTGTTTGCTGAGCTCTGTGTGTTGTTTCGAGGTGCACAGTAAGGGAATATCACAGATGTAGAAGAGATTCTAGTACAGTATATAGGAAGGAGACAGAAGGCTTAGGCTGTTATCCCTGATATGCTATAATACAAAACACAAGGCGAAGAAATGTCAGCATGCTGGAAGAAGCAAAGAAAACCAGCACTGAAGCAATGCTTCTACACCATCAACTCCGTGGGACTGCCTGATCACCATCTCCCAAAGCAATTATTATACTCCCATCTCAAGAATGGGAAACATGTTGGTGGACAGGAAAATAGATTTAAAGATGGGCTCAGAGCCAACCTTAAAAACTGTGGCATAGACATAGAGAACTGGGAAGCCCTGGCCCTTGAACACTCTAACTGGAGGTCAGCTGTGACCAGCAGTGCTGCAGAATTCAAAGAGGCATGAATGGAGGGCGAAAGGGAGAAAAGTGCCAAGAGGAAGCATGTCAAGCCAACCATGACCGGGACCGCCTTCTACCTGGAAACCAATGCTCTCACTGTTGAAGAACATATGGATCAAGAATAGGGCTCTTCAGCCACCTACGTATCCAACTCCAAGACACTACACTTGGAGGACCATCATCCTCTGGCTATGAGGAATCACCTAAGTAAGCAGATAAGTAATACAAAACCAACTATAAATTCATTCTTGAAACATTGGTAGTGCGTGGGAAAGTCAGTTTTGGACTACAGTTCCCAAACAACATAGGCAATGGCTATGCAAGATGGGGGGTTCTAAAAACTGGAGTTGAAAACAGTAAATTTTCCACACTGGCATATTAGGAGTCTATGGGCTGGCCTTAACTGTTAGAATAGCTTTTCTACATTAGGAGGAGGAATGTGGTATGTAAGTGTAACATGTCTCATTGCAGGGAAAAAAAATCAGAAAGTGAGAGGAGAAAAAGATGTGAAGATCACACTTACTTGTTGGAGAACTTTAATAGGCATTTTATATTTCTAACCACTTTATAAGACTGTTTTTAATCTGTGTATATTGTATTCTTGCACAGAGTAAAAAGCCAGTTGTCTGAACATTTTGCTAAATGAGAAAGACATTTTCATTCTGCTATTACTTGAATCAGAAAATGCAGAGAAGCAAGAGAGATTTTCAAGTGCACAATTTACCTACTTATGATATGAACAAAATAGCAAGTACAGTACTGTCCCTGTGTCTATGGGGGATTCATTCCCGGACTTCACACGGATATACATATTAGCAGATAATAGCAAACCTTATTGAAATTAGCATGAGAATACCATAAATTCACATTAGAGATCCTTAAAAACATCTAGAGAGGATGTATTTTGCAAGAACTGAGTAAATGAAACCATGGGTCTGGGGGCCATGCTGTATAAATCAGCTAAGATGTAACAGATTCAGGGTTGAGTCTCTGACTGCAACATGAAGTCTTGGGACAGTCATCCTTTCTCAGCCTAGTCCAATTCACAGTGTTGTTGTGAAGATAAACTCAGGAGGAAAAGAGAGCCATGTACTACCAGCACAAGCTGATCACTATGCCCTGGTGGGGAGTGGGATGCAAGGGCAACTAAAAAATAAATGCAAATGGTCACATTTCAAATGATAATATGAATTCACACAGATTATGTGAACATGGAGAAATTTTTAACAAGTAATAGCATACTACAGCATTAATAGAAACACTAATGTAAGTAACACAAAACGAATGCATGCTGAGCTGGTCAATTGTACAATTATGTTGTTGCTGAGGAAAATTTTCTCACAAATCTGCACATCAGAAATCTGGGCATGGTTAAATTCATTTCCATGGCATTACAATTTTGCAGAAAACTGCCATTTGGTATGTTATTGTATAGCTCTGAAATGTTACATTTTGGACTACAACTTCCAGAATGCCTCATCCTGCATAACTCGAAAGAAACACTGATGACAGCCCTCCCAAAAGTCACTTTCCCAAGTACTGCTGTTTGTGAAACTAAATTAGATACCCAAACTTAATGATTGTCCATTCCATAACAAACTTCATATCCTCCAACTGTCTTGATTTGATAGAGACAGTCCTGATTAATTCTCTTATTACCCCGCTTTTTCAGGCGCTTTTGGAAGTCCCAGGCCCCTTCTACACGGCCACATACAATCCAGATTATCTTATTTGAATTGGATTATATGGTAGTGTGGACTCATATAATCCAGTTCAAAGCTGATAACGTGGATTATCTGCTTTAATAATCTGCATTATATGGCAGTGTAGAAGGGGCCTCAGAAGATTGCCTAAGTGAACACATTGATTTCATAAATGGGAAATATTACCTTTTTGCAATAGAACCCCCAGAATCCCCAAATCACATTGCTAGCAACTTTGCTGACTAGGATATTCTGAGAGTTCTAGTCAAACTTTCCAAATCCTTTCTTATGGGTGGGGAAAGTGTACCCATGGGATCCCAGCCTGGAGCCTCTGATATCCCAAAAGCATCAAGTGGATATACATATATATATATGAAGGTGGGGATTTTGAGATAGACATTTTGAGATAGCCTCATGTCTATCTTCTCCCAACAACAAAAAAGGTATATCAATCCAAAGTGAACTTTAAGATAGATTGCATTTGGTTACATTGCTTCCACCCCTGCTCTAGCTGAGTCATATAAGCATAATCAGTGGGTAACCTTAGTCATCTTTATTCAACCACTCCTCCTTGTGCCACAGATATACATTCTGCTTGAGGGTTTTCACATATTCTCTTCCTAAAGAGCATATAGCCCCCACCTTTTCTCTCCCCACCTTGCTCTGCCATGTATTGCTGGTAATTCCTGGTGAGAAGAGTGTAAAAAAATGGGTTGATGCAGCTATTGCCATAGGTCAAGCAAGTAACGCCAAAGTTGAGATATGCCTGAGCAGTTGGCCCAATCTCCAGCTCATCGTAACCATAGAGTTTGACTAGTTGCCATGCCCAGAATGGCACAAAGCAAGCCCAGTACGCAACAATGATGCTGAAGATCCTGGAGAACAACTTCTGTCTCAAGACTCTGCCCATTACCGTTGGCTGCATGATTTTCATTGAGGTCCAATAGGTCCAAGCAAGATGGGAGTAAACCACAGCCAGGACCAAGCCAGGACCAAGGATGCTGGTACTGAAGAGAATCGTGAGATAAACCCGGTAAGCATCAGGTGTCCATGTGGGGGAACAAATCCGCTTGTGGTTTCTTCCTTCCCTTTCCTGGATCATGATCATCATAGGAACTGTAAGCAACATGGAGATAAGCCAAACTACCACAATAGCAAGTTTGCGGTAGCTATTTCGGGCCCACCTGACCCTCAGTGGCCTAGTCACTGCCCAATAACGCTCCACGCTCATGATGGTCAATGTGAAGATGCTCGCATGCATTGTAAGCAGGTCAAGACTAAGCAAAATCCGACAGCCCATGTCCCCAAAAAACCAGTCCTGGGCAAAATAGGTGTAGACCACAAAAGGGATGGTGGAAAGGTAGAGTATGTCAGCAAATGCCAGGTTGATTACATACACACACAAAGAACCTGTTGAGCGGACAGATGTGCTCCCAAAGGCTACCACAAGTGTGTAGATATTTCCTGCCATACCAAGAAGAAACATGAGGAGAAGGATCGCACCCAAGACCTCAGCGATAGGACTTTCCTCTCTAAGCTCATCCTCCTCTGAGAAATTGCCCCAAGAGGCTTCCTCTCTGATCTCTGCCATCGCGGTATACCCAAGGCGCACTTTGGATCTAGGAAAAACGATGACAAATGCACATTTTGTTTAGGACACTCTTGGTGGCTCAGCCAGTGAGGGAGGCAAGAAGAAACCAGGAATGGGAGAGCAAGAAGCCTACTTCTCTTTGGAAATGATGTATGTCGGCAAGGTGCCTCAATGTCTTTTTTCGATCGCTGTGCTCAGCATCTGCTTTTTACCATTCCTGAGGGAAGAAAGATGTTGAAGAAGAAGCAAATCCATTTCACTCTACAAATTAGATGCCATCGTTTCCTCTCGCTGCTTCCTGCCTCCAGACACTGTGTTCATGTCCTCTCCCAAGAGGTCTACGTCTCTTTCTGATTTCTCTCCACGATTCTCTTGTGCATTAACAGACAAGAACATCCCTCTATGGCTGCCATGCAGATTTTCTCCTTGCTTTCCTGCCTCTTATACTTCCTCAACCTCATTTGTTCCCCTCTAAAAATTCCATTCCCTTCTCACCGGAGGGCAGTTAACTGTGACTTGTGATTTCACACTTAAGTACCAACACACTCAGCAACTGCTATCCAACCATTAACTTTTACCTAAGGAATGATTCTACGTTTCTGTTCAGAAGCTTCTTCTACAGTTTTCTTCCCTGAATTCTTTGTATTTCTTCAGTCCTTTGCTTTCTTTTTTGAAATATGTTTTTTGTGTGGCTCTGGACCTACTTGTTAGTATAACCCAGTGCTTTCTAACCTGTGGGCTGCGAGACCTAAAATAAGGTTTGAGGCTCTAGAGCACCGGGATTGTGGCGCAGCTGGCTGAGTGTCAGCTGCATTAAGATCACTCTGACCAAAAGGTCATGAGTTCGAAGCCAGCCTGTGTTGGAGTGGGTTTCCAACCAATTGTGTAGCCTGTTGTCGACCTTTGCAACCCGAAAGACAGTTGCATCTGTCAAGTAGGAAAATTAGATACTACCTTAAAGTATGGGGAGGCTAAATTAACTAATTTATGAGGCCATAAAAAAAGACTCCAGCAAGCACTCCAGCAAAAAGCATGCGGGGAATGCGGAAGTACTTCATCAGTGTCGCAGATGGACGATGAAAGCGACAGCTCCCCTGGCGGCCAGAAACAGTTAAATAGCCTCTGTCTATGTCTGTATATGTTGTATGTCAAAAACTGACAGTGACTGTTTGCCATATATGAGTCCCCTGCGGGGTGAGAAGGGCGGAATATAAAAGCTGTAAATAAATAAATAAATAAATATTAAATATGGTTTTCTGTGGGTGAGCAGGTGGCAACTACTGGATGGCATATGTTCTGTATCAGAAAATAGAGTTGATGTGGTCTATCTATTAGAATTTTCTGAATCGGCACCCCAAATAACGAAACCAAATCTAAAGTTGACCAAAAACTGATTCATAACCCTTTTGGTATTAATGTTGGAATGTGGTCCCTGGTCAAAGTGGTCCCTGGTCAAAATGTTCCCTGATCAAGTGGTCCCTGGTCAAAGTGATCTCTAGTCAAGTGGGCCCTGGTCAAAGTGGTCCCTGGTCAAAGTGTTGGGAACGACTCGTATAACCACTCATGGAATTTTGATTATAATTGGGTTTTTTAAAAAAAAATCCAAAGAGTAGTGGGGAAAGGGAGGTGAAATGGACACCCCTCTAACACCAAGCACTTACCCAAGACCCAAACTCTAGGACCAGCCGTACTGGCTACTTTTCTTGGATTTAAAGAAAATACCGGTACTGCTGAGTTGAACTTTGCAAAGTCACTTTTTAGTACTGTAATTCCAAGAATCTCCCATAGACAAGAGCAGTTGTCCTGCTGGCTCTATGATTCTGGGAGATATAGTCCAAAAAATGATAGTTTCCAGAATCCTGGGACAACAATTCCCAGAATTCTCCATGGATAAGAGCTGTCGTTCTACTGGCTGCAGGATTCTGAGAGTTGTAGTCCCAAAAGATAAATTTCCCCAAGCTGTGATTCTGAATTATTCAACAAAAACTATGGGAATTATTAAATCATGTATTATTTCCTTGAATTTATTTCCTTAAGAACATTAGCACTCTTAGTCAAAGCCGTCAACATTTGGCCCTTTATCAATCAAGGCAGCTCATCTAGACTACAATCCCATTGCCAAGGCAGCTATTTACGGATGATGTCTAACTTATGACAACTCAAGCTCAAGAGAACTGGAAATACAGCAACAGATAATTCCATTTAGTTTTTCTACAAGCCTGGTATTTCCATTACTGAAGAGTGTTTTGTTCCAACGTGGGACATGCAGCCATGAAACAGTATCTAGCACATTGCTGCTAAACAAACTATCCAATACATCTCGGCAACATTTGTATTACAGTGTGTCCAGCACAATTGTGTATTGATATTTTTTAAGCTCAAGACAGGGAAATGGGGAGGAAACGAGCTGATCCAGAGACTAAAACACTGAGCAAGTGGTTCAAGCTACAGGAAAAGAGATTCCTCCTAAACATTTGGAAAAAAAATCCTGATGGTCAGAGTCATTCAACAGTGGAATATACTGTTTTGGAGAGTAGTAAAATCTCCATCTTTGGTTATTTCTTAAACAGTGTCTGGATGGTCATCTGTTGGGACTGCTTTGGTTGTTCCTGTCCTTGTGGTCTCTCCCAACTCTATTAAATATCCAGAATGCTTAAAGCAGTGCTTCTCAACCTGTGGCTTCCCAGGTGTTTTGGCCTACAACTCCCAGATATCCCAGCTAGCTTGCCAGATGTTAGGATTTCTGGGAGTTGAAGTTCAAAATATCTGGGGACCCACAGGTTGAGAAGCACTGGCTTAAAGCATACCAGAAGAAAGTGTGCACGCACACACCCACCTCCAATAATCCATCATTAGCTGTGCTGGTCCAGTATGAAAAATCTGAAAACATTGGTAGAAAATTTCAATTATTAGTCCATGTTAGATAAATCCATAATTGAAAAATGATGAATCATTTCTAAAGTGTTTCTAAAATATCATTAGGGTCTTTATCATAACTATATAACAACTTTTTGTTAATTTTTCGTTAAGTAATTGCACAAAGGGGGGAGAGCTTTTGGGTCTTTTTTCTCCCTCATTTTTAGAGCTATTGGGGTGAAACTTCTACAATGGTAGAACACATCTACCACTTTATCATGAGGTCAGTAGGGCCTTGGGTTTTTCCTCTCCAAGTTGGAGAAGTTACTTTTTAAATGTCCATGCTGCATTGCCTCCAGGTCAGCAGTGCTTGGGTTTTTCCCTCTTCAAGTTGGAAAAGAAGATGATCTTTATTTTTATACCCCGCCTCCATCTCCCCGAAGGGACTCAGGGTGGCTTACATGGGGCCAAGTCCAAAACAACATACAGTTAAAACAAGGCAAATAAAATATTAAAACAGCATAAAAACATCAACATAAACAATAAGAAAACAAGCCTCATAAGCAACAACCAGAAATACTTCTAGTCTCATTGGGGGGGGGGGGGGGGGGGGGGGGCTGGTGTGCAAACAAGCTAGAGAATAGGCTGATCAATAAGCTGGATAGAACATATAGCATACAGAGCAGTTGTGACAGGATCATTTTAACTTAAAAGTGCAGTAATCAGATATAAGAACTTGATTTTAGGCCATGGTTAGGGACCATATATCAAAGGAATTGTCAATCGAATGCACAACGGAACATCCACGTCTTTAGTTTTCTACGAGATGTGGATAGGGAGGGCGCTATATTGCCTCCAGGTCAGCAGTGCTTGGGTTTTATTTATTTATTTATTTATTTATTTATTTATTTATTTATTTGCTATACTTGTATACCTAGCCGGCGACTCAACGCGGTTTACAACAACTTATAACAAACAACAGTATACAGTTTAAAAACATAAAAACACAATCCACAATACATATATCAAGTTGGAGAAGTTACTTTTAAAATTCAGGTGCTGCATTGGCTTCAGGTCAGCAGCACTTGGTTTTCCCTCTCTAGCAAGTTGGATAAGTTACTTTTAAAATGCATGTACTACATTACCTCCAGGTCAGTAGTACTTGGGTTTTCCCTCTCCAAGTTGGAGAAGTTGCTTTTAAAACGCACATACTGCATTGCCTCCAGGTCAGCAGCACCAGAGAATTCAAGAGGTCCCACCCTAAACTATAGTTCCCAGAATTCTGTTTGCTTCTGAATACTGGGGCTGGCTGTGTTAAAGCCTCAATGTGTGTGTGTGTGTGTGTGGGGGGGGGGGTCTTTGCCTGCCTCTCTCTGGGTCAGCAATGTGCTGGAGGGGCTTCTTCCTTATCCAGCCATCCAGCCAGGTATCCCTCCCTCCCTCTCACCACCCCATTTGGGGAAACAGCAGGACTTCTCCCTGGACTCCAGGCCTCACTATCCTCCTTGGGGCCCTTTGGAGGAACCAAACCCAGCCTTTTTGGGGGAGAAATGGCATGACAGAGATCTGGAGCCATTTATGAGACTTACATAACTCATCCAAAAGTCATAGGTCAGTGTTTTGAATCTCAATTTATTATTATTATTATTATTATTATTATTATTATTATTATTATTATTATTATTATTATTTGCATGGGCCCTCCTTGTGTTTCTTAATATAACTTCGTATGTATGACTCTTACCAAATAGATATGACAAACGAGTTACAAAAAAAGTTTTGCACAGCCCTAATATCCATGCTACTCCCAATGTATCTGTTGGAGGCAACATTCAAAATGTTGTCTCCCACCCCAAGTTTAACCAAACCTCAATAGATAGAGCAAGGCCTCCTGGGAAAAGCTTGTAGCCATGGGATCTAAATGATCACTGAATAAAAGGCAAGGAGGTAAGTCAGTATTAGGTATGTCATAGGCACCACATATAGTCATCACACTGAATTAATTATTGTATCTGGCTGTTGAAGCCTTTAATAGTCAGCAAGTGATAAGCCTCAAGAAGTAATGATCAATGGAGAAAGCCAACAGCATATTGTTGCCAAGAGGAAATAAACATGTAAGTCCTTCAATGGGGCCACAGGCCCGAAATGGCACAAAGGTTCATAAACATTGCATCTTTGCATTCTTTGCCAGTCCAAATGGCAGAATGTGCTGATGTTCAGTGGCAACAAGC